AAGTTTAAAAAACATTAAAACGCATTTAGCAGGCTGTTCGGCGAAGGAGGCTGGAGGGGACTGGAGGGGGCCTTATGTACAAAACCGAATCTGTTTGCCCGCCTATAAATACTTATTATCGCTTATTTGAACTTGCGAATGCTGCCAGCAGCGATGCTTGTGATTTACTTTTATTTCGGCTCGGTTTTCCTCCCTTTTCCTTTCCATCCTTTGTGCGTGAGATGTGTCCGTGTGTCTGTGTGCGTGGAAAAAAATCGATATTTATTTCGTCTCGCAAAAAAAAGGTCAAAAACAATAAAAGCCTAAATACACATACGAGCCTTTGAACTGGCTTTGATAAAAGCAAGAAGACTCGGCCCAACGAGGAGTGGAAGCGACTGGGGGTAAGCCTCCAATCAATGGCTATGCGTCGCTTTTGGTACGTGTGAATTTAAGCTGATTAAAGAATTGAGCCCCTTCCGACCACCGACCGTGGACCACCGACCACCCACTGGAGCAGCGGAGAAGCGAAAGAAAAGCGAGAGAAAGAAGGAGCAAGGAAAAACGCAGAAAGGCAGAAATTGATGTCTGCTTTTAGGCGTACTCGTAGATGCGGCTGCGGCTGCTGCTGCCGCTGGATGGGCTTTATTTATGCCTTTTGTCTGGCCTCAGAGGCTTTGTTATTTGGGGCTTAGTGGTGAATATCCTGGCCTTCGCATACAGCTTGCCTTGTACCAGCCTTGCCGTCTCTTTTAATTTGCACTCCCCCAAAACTTGAAGCCTCCAAGCCCCTGGCTGGAGCACATGTGGGACAGATAAAAGGAGTCGCAGCCGAAGCCGCAGCCGCAGCTGAAGCCAATCATCATTGGCCGTCAATCTATATTACAAATTCAATTGAATTTGTCGCCCTTTATTTGTATTAATCAAATTGTGTGGCATTCTTCCCGCGCTGCCATAAAAATGTTGACACTAATAAGGTCGCAGCACCGAGCAGGTAGAGTGGAATGTGTCGCTAACTTTATGTCGAAATGAAATTCGGGATCGTGGCTGAGTGCCACAGTGCCCGCCCCCAACGTAGGCAACACAAATTGCCAGCGAATACAATTCAAATGCGTAATCAGGCGAAAGGAGCAGCGAGCAGAGCAGGGCAGGGCAGGGCAGGGCCTTGCAGGGTAGAACTGAGAAGAAGACAGGGGGCGCACAACGAAATGAGAAAAGTTTTTTCGGGCCAACGCTGCGTATTATTATTATTAGTTTTTCGCCCTAAAACTTTTGGCAGCCTGCTTATTAGCAGGGGATGTGTTCTGCGCCGGCTTCGAGGGCCTGGGCTCCCCTTTCATAGCTCATTGCTTTTCAATTTGATGAGACGTTGTCTGTAATGAGCTCTGCGAAAGTTTTCTGCTCGGGAATTTTCCACATATGCGCGCACAGTTTTCTTTAAGGTTCTGCTCTACTCTCTCTCTCTCTCTCTCTCTCTCTACTCTTTCTCTCTCTCTCTCTCTCACTCGTTGATGCTTGGGGCTGCTTTGTTAATTTTCGCTTGTCATTTATCATCAGGTGAAAGATGCGAGGAAATTTTTATGGAGTTGATTTTTAATCTTTTGCAATCATTTCTGTACCAGCGCTTCCCTTTGGAGTATCCCCCTGCGGCGCCACAGGAGGAAATGAATATTTATAAGTATGATGAATGAGGCGTGGCGGGAAGACGGGAAGCGTCGGGAAGCCGGGAAACGTCGGGCTGGGCAACGGCATCTGATTTACTGACGTGTGACAAGGAGTCAAGCGAGGACACGGCCGGGATAAAGGTAAGGAAATTAATGCGTAGTTAGAAACATAAATCTGTGTGAGTGTGCCTGCATGTGTGTGTGTGAAAGTATGTGTGTAAAACTGTTCGTGAGGAAATAGCGGGGATTTCACAATTTATGTTTGTATGCCACACAGAGAGGGATGCCGAGGCCCAGTACCAGTCCCTGGCAGATCTTCCCTGCTCACGGGTCGTATGAGTGATATTAATTTGACTTTAAGTCGCAGGGAAAAGCAGAGCAAGAGCTAACGTAACACGTCAACGTAAACGTAAGCGAACGTATGCAATTTACGTGACATCATTACGTGTTAGACAAGTACAAATTACGCGTGAAAGCGAAAAAGAGATAGACAGAGAGCGAGAGAGAGAATGAGAGTGGGAGAGAGCAAGAGCAGGCAGACGACAATATGAGTTTGATAATGATGAGGCATGGGATGGATGTATGTGTGTGTGTGTGTGTGTGTGTGAGGAGGAATATCAAGATAAATAACTAAGCAGGGGATGTATGTAGCAGTGTCTGTGTGTACGTGTGTGTATGTGTGTGTTTGAGTGTGTGGCAATGAAACGAAAATCATCAGACTCAGATCTGGCACAGCAGATTGCAAATGCGGCAAACGTTGTCAGGACGGAGAAGGACTAAGGACTAGGACCTAGGGACAACGGTTCAAAGACAACGGCAACAATTTGTGCTTTCGGTACTCAGGGGGGGGTCTTGGGCTTGGTCAAAGCATAGACATGTCAACATAGTCCTCCACATTCCCTGCTGTAAGTTAAAATTGATGAAGTTACAGGGATTGAAGGCAGGGAAAGAGCCCTTCCCAAAAATGGAAGCAGTATCAAGAGGGCTTCCCCACTAAATCATTTCTGCTCTTCGCACTTGTCAACAGCAAAAAATGTATTCATACCCCCCACAATACGACCGCCTCTCGCACATTTCATGCTTGATTTGAGCTTAAATAAATTAAACTTCTTTGTGCTGCTGAGAAATGCAAATGTCAGCGGGTGAAGCTTGCAGCAGTGGCAGCGGCAGCGGCAGCCTGCAGGATATCAGGACTCTCGACCAAGCAATTAAACTTGTCCTTGTCTAATTGCATTTTGGCCTAAGCCCAAAGCCAAAGATCCCTACTCCACACACACACACACGCACACGCACACACACACACACACACACACAAACGGACCAAGTCAAAAGTCTCAGCTAAGAGTGGAAGGAGAGAGAAGGCAAGGGCTCGGTGCAGAGTTGCCAAGTACGTTGCTGATAGGGGCCCGAAAAAGTTTAGTGCTTTAATTTCTTAGAAATTTGTTCCCACTCGAGTGAAGAAGACCGGGGGAGATGACGATGGGGACGAAGAGCCGCCAACAAAGCAACAAACAAAAATGTCGACTTGATTGCGTCGTTGATGGTTTGGTCCTCGTCCTAGAGCTCTACTCCTAGACCAGGTCCAGAGCAGGTCCAGAGCAGGTCCAGAGCAGGTCCAGGTCCAAGTCCACAATTGTGCGGACAGATTGCCAGCAAGTTGCCAGAGCGGAGTTCAGTTGCTTGTGCAGCTTGAAGTTTCCAATCCCCAGCGGATTAGGAAAGTTTAAATTGTTGCCGCCGAGCCAGCAAGAGGGAGCGAGAGAGAGGGAGAGAGATAGAGCCAAGGAACGAAAGCAAAGCGAAATCGAAGCAGCCAAAAGAATGAATGAATGAATGAATAAAGAAAGGAGCAACGTAACGATTAGTGCTTTCATGTCCTTTGGCAAAGTTTAAAGGTCATCCGGAGGAAGGCCCGACTCGACCCGACCCACCACTGCCTGGGCATCCTTCGCTCTGCGCTCGCTCAACGTTCGTTGGCTGCTGATTTGACACATCAACTTTGTCAAGGTTCTTGCCACAGCCACCAGCAACGCAGCAACGGAGACAGCGACAGCGACTGTTATGAGCAATGGCTGTGTCTGCCCCACCCACGCACCACCCGTCTTTCTCGGAGTGAGTGCGGCTGAGGTTGAGTGTGAGTGTGAGTGTGAGGGTGAGTGTGTGCACAAGCAATTTGTGCAATGGACATTTTGGGCGCTCCTCTGGTTCTCTCGGCTCTGCTGTGATAAGCGACGCCAGCTGCAAAATGTCTTAAAAGATTGCAGAGTGCACTGACTCCTGCGACTCCAACTTCTAGATGGATGCTGGGCCCGGGGCAGCCCGAGAGTTGATTGCGAAATGTGTAGCATACTTTTGTGCGATTGCACCTCTGCCAGACCTCGAGCCACAGCTCGAGCCACAGCTCGAGCCACAGCTCGAGCCACAGCTCGAGCCACAGCTCGAGAGTCAGGAGAGAGAATGGATAATGAGCAGGGGCTGAGCCGAGCTAAGCTCTCATCCTCAGTAAGGGGTAGAAATATTGAAATTACTTTGAAGCCCCGGCTGCATAATGAGCCTGTCAATAAGTTTATCAAAGCAACAACTACTCGGGCAGCTGACCCAAAAAACAAAGTTGAAGTGCTGTGTAAATTATGCAAATCTTTATCATTCTTTTTACCATCCCAAAGGTTGCTCGAGTGGGGGATGTCGATGGGGATGAGGGTGGTGGGTTCTGGAGGGGTTCCTGGGTCGATGGGCTGTCACAAACAAGCGTGAAACACGACAACTGTGTGAGGGTCCCGGTAAAAACAATATGGCGCCCTGGCCAGCGCTGTTTGCCTCTGCCTCTGCCACTGCCTCGGCCTCCCGCTCTCCACTCGTGGGTCCTGTGTGTAGCGGCCTGACTGCCATTGACAGTCGAACGTTGTTTTGCTATACGCTTTTCCCATTTTCTCTACCATTTCCAAGTATTTTTTTGAGGTTCTCGTTTTTCTGCTGTTTTTTTCTTCTTTTTTTTCTGAAATGTCAAATTTTTGCAGACAGTTTTGACAGTTTATCGAAGTGCGCTCGTAATTTCTGCTGACGTGTGTTGTAGGTGTTGAAAATAGAATGGAAGAGGGAGCAAAGGAAAAGAGAGAGAGAGAGAGAGGTGCAGGGGGATGGGGTAGGGTGTGGGGTGCAAAACTTTTGCTGGCTCTGCACTTTTTGGCACAAAAACTTTCCCCACAGCGAAAGACGGGTCAAGTTTTTTGTAATTATTTGTTTGGGTCACCTATGGAGAGACCTGATTGATTTTCCAGCCATGGGAGGGAGTCCCCTTTTATAGAAAGTAAAATATGAAGCAGAGAGATAAAGATAGTTCAGAATTTGATTACTTACCGCTGCGACTTTCATTTTCAGCTGGCTTCAGCTGTAAAGCACGGTTCATCTGCAAGAGAAACAGAGAGAAAAATATCGAAATTAATACGGGGCTGAGATTACGGTCTAGATGAAAATGAGATTATGCGATAATGATTCGGACAGAGGGTGCTATTACTCCCGGTATCCCCCTCCGATTCAATCAGCATACTCTCGTGGTGGGGAGCGGGATAGATAGATAGAAGCTCTTCATAAACACCTCCAAAAACGCATTTGGCCAGCGAAGCATTTTCAAGCATTTAAATGGCACTCAATATGCAAGCCCATCTCCTGTCATGTCCTGTCTCTCCAGCACACCCTCCTCTGTATCCCTCTCGTCCTTTCGCTCTCCCGTTCTCCCGTTCTCTGGCTCTCTGGCTCTCCTCTGCACATTTGCGCTCATTGCCTTTTACCCACGACTGGGCAGCCACATCCTGTGCCGCTTCATGCATCATTAAAGCTTAAATCTCACCCAAGCGACCCATGTCGATTCTGGCCAGCCAACACTTAACGTTCTCCTCCCTCATCCACTCACCCACTCATCCGCTCTCCTTCTCTCTCTCTCTCTCTTTCTCTCTCTGCTCTGGCACTCTGCTGTGAGGAGTGCGATGTGGGACTGGGTCTGAAACTGGGTCTGGGTCTGGGTCTGGGTCTGGGACTGGGACAGGGACAGGGCTACGTGTTGTGGTCACCTTTTGGTTTATGGCAAATGAGTAATATGGCCGTGCCGGAGCACGAAAAATCCCATTAAAAGACGTTCAAATGAAATGCATTAAAATAAAACTTAATTGAGGGCTTTATACCGACTGTTCGAATCGAGTGTCCACCCTCTTTCGGTCCTTCGCTCCTCCGAAAACCGCAAATACCCAAGCAAATCAATAACCAAAAAGGTGGGGGATCCCACAAGAGCTGGGCTCCACCTCTCCCTTCGCAGGTGTAATTTATTTGCACCGCACACAGATGGAAAGGGGGCGGCTTTGGCTACGCCCCTGGGCTTCCTGGCCTTAGATTGGCTCATCAACAGGGCCCAGGGCAAGTCGGGGGCAAGGTGAGGTCCGTGTCCGGGTCTGGGTCTGGGCCCAGTTCTGTGCCTGGGCCTGTGCCTGGGCCTGGGCCTGTGCCTTTCCCTGTCATTAGCCGCATGGAAGTCTGTCGTCTCATCGCCTGCCGCTTGTCGCATGAATATTTTATAATCAGCCATTAGTTTGCGGCAATTGAAAATGATTGAAGCTTTTAACTGCAAAATTCAATTGCTTTATATAACCATCAGGGAGTGGCTGGGAGAGCGAGTGCCCTTTCGTATTATGAAATATTTAATGTCATAGTCGGGTCGGTTCCCTGCCTCTCCACCCCCCTGCCCTTCAGTGTGTGCGTGTGTTTTTTTGGAACAATCCATTAGTCGAAGGCAAGTAATTAAAATTGCGATTTATGCACGCGCATGGATGCGAGCCGAAATTTTGGGCCTCTCCTCAGCTTGTTTGTAATTCAATTATGTTAATGATTGGACAACATTTACCGTATTTACATTAATGCATAATGAATGAGTGCAGAGTTCCCCCACGGACGATAGCGCGGACGAGCCAGAGAGCGGGAATAAGGGCGAGGAGGACGAGGAGGATGGACCACCAGGCGGCGCGCCTAAATGCAGGCTGCACTTTATTTTTGGCTGGTTGATTTTTTAATCGTAACTCCAGCAGAGTTCCCCCGCCACACTAAACAGGGCGGGGGGCTCGGCAATTAAGTGCATTTCTCTGTCTGACCAAAGGCATGCTGAACCACCCCTCCACTTCCCCTCTGCCACTGCCACTCCCACTCCCACTCCAACTCCCACTCCCACTTCATCACTCTTGGCCAGACAACACACAAATGCGCTTTTGCCTTACTCAAAGCTCAGCTGGATAAATTAAGTGGTCGATGAACTGAAGCCTTGTGGATTTTATATACAGGCGATGTCGACGGCAGCACCATGTTGTTGACAGTGATGCGGGGGGCAGGCAAGCAGGCAGAGCGAGAGCGAGAGAGAGCTGCAGTGGAGTGGTGTGGAAGGTTGGCTGGGTGGCCGGGTGACGCCGCAGAATTTAAACCAATGTTTAACCGAAAAATGTTCATTTAGTCGCACGTTCTCCTCCGCTCTGGGGGTTGCCGCTGTGGCAGCTCTGGCTGCTCCTGATGCTGCTGATGAATGATTGATGTGTCGTGGTTTAATAAATTGGAAAATGTTTTCAATACTGTAAGTAATGCTCGGAGCATCTCAAAGACCGAACCGTAGATGGAGCTAAACAGCATGCAGGCGGGCAGGATTGCTATCCATTATCTGCTCTTTTTCGAGTCAATGCTGCAGAGCCAGAGCCAGAGCCCGCAGCTAGCTTTGAGTGCGGCTTCCAATCCAAACAGAAATCAGTGCAACAGCAAAAGCTGAACAGGCAGAGACGGCAGTAGCATTCAATGATGTCCTTTTCATTTTGGCTAATGAACTGCCGGCAATTTATGGGAGAATTTCCTGGAAAATTCCGTCAAGTCAAAGCATTCTCTGGCAGCCACATGAGTGCCGAATGCTTTCACTGCACTTCTCTGAGTTCTTCTGAGTACACTGGAACTCTTTTTTTTTGTATTTCGGCGGCCCTTCTAAGGCATCTCTCACTCTGTGTGTGCACAAAAGCCTGGCTAATTATTACCGCCAGCGAGAGCCAGAGAAAGAGCAAGGTTTCCCCTGCCCCTGCCTCTGCCTCTGCCACAGCCACTGCCACTGCCAGCAACCTTCTTTGGCCGCGTAATTAGCGCACATAATTTGAAATTTAAATGTTGCCAAAAGCCGAAGCCTTTGAGAGTCAAAATGTTAATTAAATCTTTCTCTTTTTTCGTCCATTCTCTCTGTTGGCGGTGCGAGGGGAATCAAAAGATGCCTGCCTCGACACAATTACCCTTGGCAATTGCTTATGACAAAGTGTCTGTGGGGGGAGGATGGAGGGGAGGAAGAGATACTGCAGCCACAGTTGAGAGTCGACAGGCGCCAGTGGGAACGTTAAACCGCAAATTTTAGCGCCCCAGCATGTCCGAGAGAGGGCCAGTGGGCCACAGGCTAGCCGCAGTGTCGCCGCCTACGCATATGCAATGGCCAAAAGTGCCAACTTGGCCAAGTGCTGTGCGCTGTGTGCTGTGTGTGCTGTGTGTCGCTCTGTGTCGCTCCGTGTCGCTCTGTGTCGTTCCCTGTCTGCTTTGGGTGCATGGACCCATAAACTGCGTTAGTTTATGATGCCCGAGCGCTAAGTGAGCAAAGCGAAGTGCGCTGAGACAGCTAGCGGATGGGACTCTGCCTGGGTGACTGGGTGACTGCTGGGCCCGGCCCACAGATCCCACCCAGATCCAGTCAAGCCGTAAGTGCCTTCCACTGACCCCCTCTCTGACTCTCGCCCTCTCCTCTGTGCAATTAGAATGCGGCGCATTGAACCAGTCCAAAGCCGAAGCTTTCCGCTCAGTTCTTCTCTGTTCTGGTCATTCCTGGGATGTTCTTGTTGTTCTGTTCTGTTCTGTTCTGGTTTCCCTGCATTCGCTAGTCGAACTCCATAAAACGGAACAACGAAAATGCAATTAAAACTACGTTTTATGGCTTTGTTATGGCAGCAGTCAGCCTCTAACCCCACTTCCCCCCTGCCCCTCTGGCCCTGTACCGAACCGAACCGAACCACATGAAGAGCAATTTTTATTATGCTTTCTTCACTCGGCCGGAGACGACGACGACGACGAGGACGAGGACGAGGATGATGATGATAGTTTGGAAAATGGTTTCGAATTGAGTGGGTTCCCCGGCAAGTTTTGTTGATAGAAAAGTAATATTTTATGGGGCTAGCCGAAGGGAGGTTGGAAGTGGAAGTGGAAGTGGAGAGCTCTGCTTATTGAAAACGCAGCTTCGCTTCGTTTCTTCTCTAACAAAAATCATCAAAGTTTTATGCAAAAGTTTTTTTTTTTTCTCTCTTGCGGCATACAGATACGGATAGTCGTCGTCGTACTGCGAGATACGCTGCTCAAATTTGTCACTGGCAAAGCACCTAAAAGTAGACAATGTTGCCTCAAGCATCTGTCATGTGTGTGTGTGTGTGTGTGTGTGTGTTGGTGGCAGAAAGGGAGCTTTTTGAGATAGAGGTAAAAGCAAAACAAACTAACGAGCAAGCAAGCAAAACAAAAGCTTGTAGCTCTTGCTCCTGTTCCTGCTCTTGCTCCTGTTCCTGCTGCTGCTCCTGCCCCTGCCCCTGCTCCTGGTGCCGCTCTGAGGCTGCCTGTGCTCCTTCTCCGACAACCTGCCATAACTGCAGCTTAATCAAAAGTTTTTCACTGCTCCACAGCCCAGGATGAGAGCCTCAGCTCTGGCTTCAGTTACAGCTCTAGTTCCAACTTCAGCTTCAGCTGGAGGGCAACCAACCAACGATCCAACCAACCGCAACTGTATCATCCATACCCCCACCCACAGCCAGCACACCCTGCACACCCTGTAACCGCCGCACACTCTGCACTTCCCTTTGATACTAATCAGTGGCTGCTTCTTCGTTCATTTTTTATGTTGTCTGGGCCACGCTCAATGGGAAATATCTATATTCTTTATGTATCTCTGATGTATGAAATATGGCATCTGTATATAATGGTCCGCTCTTCGGACGGGGTCTGTGGGAGTTTGCAATTAGCAAGTGGCAATTAAAGTTGGTCGGACTCGGTCTGGCATTGAACCCACGACCACCAGGCAGCAGAGAGCAGCCGATAGCCGGTAGCCGGCAGCCGGCAGCCAGTAGCAGGCGTGGCAAGAGGAATGTTTATTGGTTCATATATTATCGAGGGCCAGACAACAGATTGGCCAGCACGAGCACGAGAGCTGTTAACCAACGGTAATCGGGAGCTGGAATGGTGCAAAATGAATAAGAGGCCATAAAAAATGTAGAATCTTTCATTAGACCAGTTCTTAGCTTCACTCCAGACCCAGTTACAGTCACAGTCCCAGTCCCAGCCCCAGCCCCAGTCCAAGTCCTAGCGTAAAGCCAGGAC